TGTGACAGCTGAAAAAGGGAACTGTAAGGCTGACTAAGTAGCTCCAGCATGTTTGCTTTTGTTGTACAGGTCCAATAAATCCTTATACTGGACTGTGACAGTAGGAGACCATGATAGAGCCGTGAGAGAGTCAACAGAACAGGTAAGAAGTAAGCAATACCATTAAAATTGCTGGCTGCATTGCATTCATCTTTACAGATCTTTTGGAGGAATCTGGTGTGCGTAAATAACATGGTGCTGACAGCAAGACAAAATAACCAATATATGGCACATGTTCAGGGATGAGAAGGAAATCCAGTAACTCTGGTCTCATAGCTAACTTGCAGCCTTTGGAAGTGTTTTATATCTGTCTCTTACTATTATCACTAAAAAATCTAGCAGATGACTGAGTGTTCTCAAGGTCTTACTCTCTTGGTGCTGAGCAATATATCTATAAAAAGCTTGCTGACTAGTCCCTCTTAGGGAGGGGGAAGAAGAAATCCATGTAGAAAAGAAGCAAAAGAGATTCACATTAGACTTCTGCAAAACCTTCCTGGCTTGTGTTTGCACAATGACAGAGTCTTTCTAGGCTGAGGAGATTTAAATAAGCTGTCCCAGCAATCTTGGCAACTGAGAAGCGGGGGATTTGTCTAAGTTGTCATACCTTTTTGTTTGTTTTCATGAAATATTTGGAGTCTTCAGTCTGGCAATTGTTTGAGAGATTTTTTTTGGCTCTCTTCCTTTACAGGTATGCTTTCAGAAAGCACTTTGAAGGGTAGGTTATTCCTTCTCTGCCCTAACCCCTCCTGTCTTATTACAGATGAGACGGGTGAAAACCATTGTGGTGCACCCTAACTTTGACATAGCGAGCTACGACTCTGACATTGCCCTGGTTCAGCTAGATGTCCCTCTGGAGTACAATGCTGCTGTGAGGCCAGTGTGTTTGCCCAACAGCACTGAGCCCGTATCTTCCTCTTCCCTCTGCACTGTGTCTGGATGGGGGATCATTGAAGATGGTGGGTCTTCTGATTTTTGCCTACTTGTCCATTATTAGCAGAATGTACTTTTCTATCTTGACTATTCAGACTTACCCTAGCAATTGCTCTTTTCTAAGGTGGGACGGTTTGTGTCTTAGTTCAAGCCTCATTGTGATGTGAGTGAAGGGGAGATCTCTTCATTTTAATAACTGTATAGGAATGCAAGCAACTCTTATAGTGAGTAGAAGTCACTTTGTATGGAAAACCTTGGACTAAATAGAGCGCTGACTTATACCTGCAGAACCTGAACTTGAGATTAATTAGTTTCTTTGGCAAAGTAACGAGCATCAGTTTCTGCCCTGGATGGGATGAACTGACAGCCCTTTTGTCAGATGATTGCCTCCTGCAACTGGAAGAGTAGACATATGAGTAAGCTGTAAGCAGAAGGCTTGGACAATCTGAAGTGAGGTCTCTTTGAGTTGCCCTGTTGGATCCAACTTGCTCTAGATGTGGGCGGCGGGAGACTCATATCTGCTAGGTGACTCCTTTCTGATGTTTGTAGTGGTGAGCTTTCTAGCTCTGCAAAAGTATGGTGTAAATATCGTGCAAGTGTTTTGCCCGTTTCTTTCCCATGCAGATGGAAGCCGAGCAAGGCGACTGCAACAGATACAAGTTCCTGTACTTGAGAATGAGGTCTGTGAGAGGAACTACTACTTAAATCACCCTGGAGGGATTACAGCTAGGATGCTTTGTGCAGGCTTTGTTTCTGCTGGAGGGAGGGATTCCTGTCAGGTGAGGTGAAACAAGAACTGAGTGCTCTTGAAGGTGTCTGCTTCTGTCTGCATGCAGATGTTGATAGATCATCTGGAGGAAGGGGTGGGAGAAGATGGCGGGGGGCGGGAGGGAAGAGGACATTGTACATCAAATGGCAATTAAAAGCTCTAACAGTTGTCCATTCCAGGGATGGATAGCACTTACAAAAGTAGTAGGTACAGTTGATCTATACTGGATATTTATGCAAGGCACAGTGCTGCTTGAAACTATGACCACAGATCTTAGTAATGTTTCTCTAGACTGTAATTTTTGAGACCTGTGATGGAGAGGATGTTTTGCCTTTACGCTTCCTGAAGCCTCTCTCTTAGCTCAGTGAAATGCATTCTAATTGTAGCTTGCTTGCAACCTCTTCCAAGGCCCTTTCTCAATAAGAGGAATTATGATTTCTATTGGTTCTTCTAAAGCTTCCTGTATTTAGAGCACTATCCAGGAACTAATCTCCCTGAAACCATGTCCAAGCAGGTAAGAACAGCTGAGGAAATAAAAGACAAAGTAATTTTGACTAAGGCACTGTCAAGCTAAAATGCAGACCCTGCTTAATACTGCAGTCTTCTAGCAGACTGCTAAATGACATGTACCTTAAAATGATTGGTCTTAGCGTAAGTCTTCAGCGTGTGCTCAGTTTTTATTCCACGCTGCCCTGCTGATGACCAAATCTTTAAATCAATCTCTTCATTTCAGATTGTGGATGAATTGTGCCAGGAGCTATATACCCTGTTCTTGCAAGGAGGTTTTTTCTTGTCAAATCTGATCTGTCACTGTTCTCTTAGCTTTCAGCATTGTGGAGGCCAAACAAAATAACCGAGTCCACTGGTCTCTGGTTCTTAGGGTGGTTCTGGCGGCCCTTTGGTTTGCAACAAGGAAAATGGACAATTTATTCTTTATGGCATTGCCAGCTGGGGAGTTGGCTGTGCCAGATCAAGGAAACCAGGAGTTTATTCGAGGGTAAGGTCTTTCCTGGAGTGGATCAGACTAACAATGAAAGGTGAGTTTTCCTTGTCTAAACAAACTGTCCCGAATGTATCCCTTTGTGGAAAATCTTCTAGGTACATTGAGTTTTTTCCTGGAAAATTTTTCTGATGGAACTTGAAAGAAAAAATCCAAGTGGCTTCATTGATTTCCTGCAGGAAGTCCCTACTTCCTCCTCATTTTTCCCCTAAACGAAACTTGGTGGAAACTGGAATGGGATTTTTAGGAAATTGGGATGGGATTATCTGATGGGATATTTGAAACAGTTTGGCTCTTTGGGATCTCAAGTCCTTTTTTCCCCCCCCCCCTTTTTAAATAAACTGATCTATCATTCAAGAGAAATGTATCACTTTGGACTTTGGCTCAAAGTAGTTGCACTGGGAAAAAGCTGATGCCAAACATGTGTCTTCCAAAGTCTTATCCCTCGCTCTTCTCTGCACATGCATGCATACAGCCAGGAGCATAATTCTCTTTAGTGAATAGCTTTGATTGCCCCACCACATTTCTTGGGAAAAAGAGGAAAGCTAATCCTGGACCGAGTTTTCATATTCCTACCCATCCTGTATTTTATTATTTCTATTAATGGAAAATAGAGGATTTCTTGTAACAAGAATATGTTTTTGCTGTATCCTGAATAAAGTGTGGTGCAGTTGTGAACAGGAAATTAAAGTAAATACTAAAGAAAAGAATATAGTAAGGATAATGCTCCATTCACTTAATTCAGTTGACAACAGTACAAAGCAGAAGAATGAGTTCTCAAATGTTGTTTTTCCCTCGCAGGGTCATTCTTAGTCCCATATTGACCTAAAAGAGAAATGTTAATACAGGTGCGAATTCAGTATGAGAACTGTCTGCTAAACTAATAAAATCCATTGAAAAAGTAGTTATTACTTGTATAGTAGCCAGATCATCTCTACAAGTAAGCTGAGAGCTGGCTGGAGATCTCTTCCATTCACTTGAATCTAATGCAACTGGCTGCTGACCGTTGGCTATCAGCTATAACAGCTTTTGTGGATTTAGTGTAGGTCAGGCAATTCATGCAGGAGAATTGTATAGCTCTGTAGTTGCAAAACCTTCCCAGTGGTGGAAGCTTTAGTATTGCATATGCATCTTTACGTGCAGCTTCATGCAAAAGGTTCAAAGCTCCAAGGGCTCTGTGAGCCAGGTACTGACCATTGGCTCCTGTATTTGACTTTCATACAAGTGAAATGGCCTTTCCCACTGCAGGAAGTGTTTGACCATAATGCATGTTGCTTGATAAACTCTGTTAAAAGGACTGTAAGCTTGTTGTGCCTCTCCAGATGGTGAACAGAGCACATGGCAGGGAAGTGACAGTGGACCCAGGACCTCCGTACAGGAATGGCCAACCAGCCTGCCCACAGAGCGTATGAACTCTGTGGGAGAGGCATGCGGACAAGGTAACACCTCCCTGCTGTTGTGTAACTGCATGTAGCTGTGATGCGCAAGAGGTTGTGGCACTTCCTTTGCAGAGGATGGAGGAGCTGATTTAGTTTCAGCAGCTCTGGGCAGTGCCTGATAGCAAGTATGAGACCCCAAACATCTCAGTGAAAATGGAGTGTGTGTGATGTAAAACACTAATTTCATCCTGGAAAAAGTGTTGCCCAGAACACTGGGAGAGGGGAGGGAGGGAGACTGGTGAGTGCAGCCTAGAGAAAAGATCCCGTTGTGACTAGAAGCAACATGCTCACCCTGAATAACAGGGCTCCATTACCAGGCTACAGGCTTCCTGTGCCCTTGGGTATGCTGGTTAGTCTCCTGTACTTCTACCTTACCGTCTATGAAATGGGGTGAGCGTTTGTTTCTTTAATCTTCTTTCTTTTAGACCCTGAGTTCCTCAGGGCAGGGACTATTACTTAAGATCTGTTTACGCTTGCACTTAGCATAACCAAAGCCCTGATCTTGTCTGAGGTGTACACTCATGCTTCAATAGCATAGACAGGCATACAATCAATCCTATCTTCCTGATGTACTTCCTCCTGCCTGTTAAGCATTTAAATGCTTCTCTGCAACTGATATTGTGATCCTGCTGGAGAACGGAAGATGAAAAGGCTGAAGTACCCTCAAGATATCAGGACACACTAGCTCTGACTAGTCAGTGAATGCTATTGTTCATGGCTTTAAAAAGCAATCAGTTTGGGAGGGAAGGTGCTACCAGTTCTGCTTGCTGACGATGTGTGTGAAACAGGTGTGTTGGCATGCACTGTGCACTCTCCATTCTTCTAATTGGCATCCTCGCTGGTGCTCTGGGACATCAGGCCACTGAAAAAAATAATGTAACAGGAGGTGGAGATGTGTTCCCTCCCTGGGAACATAAATCACTGCCAGCAACTGTGGGAGTAACACCAGCACAGCACTGCAGTGCTGAGCCTGCAGAAGCTCTGGAAATGCACCCAGGCTCCTGCCTCAATAGGAGCAGCTCGCTGATGGGTGAGCTCAAAGTCAAGGCAAGCACAAGGTGCTGGAATGACCTGAATTGGAGGTGACCTGAATATCAAACCATTTTTTAAAATGAACTGTGGGAGAAGCTGTCATGCCTCAACCTGATGGCCTTACAGTCCTTCCCCATGCCTGCACTGCCTTTCCCTGCTGTCTTCTGCAGGCACAGGGTCTGGTTCCTCAGAGGGATGGAGCATGCGTAGAAGCCCTTATCTGTCCCTTGTGTGAAGCTGTGCAACTAACTCATTGCTTTTTAACCTATCCATAAATCAGCTTGGCTGAGCTCTCTTCTGTTGTGGGTCGAGCCAAGCTGTACTTCCCTGCGTGTACCTGGGCTTGCACACACCCTGACAGTCACTGCATCTCTGCTGCTGTGCAGCACTGTTCATGCCCTAGTACCTCCTCGAGAGAAAAATGCTCCTCTTCCTCTCCCTTTGGGACTTGAAGGATTGCCAGCCTGTCAAGGGGCTCAGCTCTCCCCCTTCCCTCTTCCTCTCTGTGCTGTTGGCATCCTGCACAGGCACACAGAGATACTGAGGTACCAACACCTGATCTTACCAGAAAGCTCAAATGTTGGTGTAGGAAGAAAGAGACTTGCACAGAATTAAAGCTGTTATAAAGAGGGTGTGACTTAAAAAATTGCTACCTTGGGAGGCAAACAACCTCATTATACTTGGTACTAGATGCATAGTTCTCAGTGATTTTGTTCTCTCCTCCTGCACTGTTGTAACTACTCAGATGCTTCTAAATATTTCCCTGTTGATTTGGTCTCCTATTTAAAGTGGGGAATCTGACTGCACTGTGTGCAAGCTAATCCAGCTCTGCTGCTGTGTTTCTAGAGAACAGAATGCACAGACAAAAGCATGATATTTCATAACTGTTGTCAAAGGCAGATTACAAGGTCAGTTTAAAAATATTTCTTCCAAATTCAGCAGTGAGAGAACCCTTGAGCTTCATTGGCTTACTAGCCTGGTTATGGCCAATGTGCTATCTGTTTTCCAGGCACTGATTTGAATCACAGTTCAGAAAGGTGCTCTGATTGCATTTGCAAGCTAGTCTGCTTTCCTCTATGGCCTGGCATCTCAACCCATTGCATTGTCTAGCTTGCCTCTGCTGCCTGGGTTTCTGAGGCTAAGGTGGCAGGACTTGCCTTTTGACACTGCACATTTAAAGTCCTACAGGCTTGTGCCAGTCTGCGTACTGTAGTCTAAATAATGACTGAATATTACTGATGTGGAACTATTTTTAAAAAAATCCCAGTGTAGTGTTAGGCTTATTAACAGATCCATTCATTGTTGCTGATTAAATGTGTCCCCTTCCAATGGTCAGGTAGCTGTGCTCTCGCCCATTGTATCAGAATATTCAGATTCCAGTAGATCTAGTAACACTGGGGTGAGGAGAGGAAGTAGTAAGAACACACTAGAAAACCATTTTCTGTCGATTTTTATTGACCAGTTAGACTACCTTCAATCATGGACAGAACTGGTAGATTTTTGAGGAAAGCTCTTGATGCCTTCTCTTGATGCTTTTGTCACTAAATTGTGCATTTATCCACAGAATGCATGCCAGAAGTGGAGTCAGAAGAGCCCAGGGGTTTTATCTCAACTCCTTCCTCGTCGGGATACATGGGAAGCAGAGAGCTCTCAGATGCCCCAAATGACGGGCATGGCAAAGATCATAGTGAAGCATCTGTCAATACCAACATTACTGAACTTCCAGGAGGAGTTTCTTGTGGTTTATGAAGACAGCCAAAGAGGAAGAAATGTGCTAGATAATAACAAATAATCCAATTGAGGCCATTCAGTCCTAGAAATTTTTCACTTTTGCTTGGGCCAGTTTCAGAAAGCGTTTCCATCTCCAGCTGTATGACTCTGCAGCCTTAAACTTCAGAGCCCAGGCTGTCCAGGGTGTAAAATTGGCTTAATCCCCTCAATCCCTTTGTAAGTATACTGCATTGACTTGATAGGAGAATAGCCCTCTTAGTCCACTCATGAATGGTAAAAAAAAAAGGCTATGTAGAAATAAGCTGTGGTATTCAGGCAAGCTGTGGTATGGAAGAAACTTGTCCATATAAATGACTTGTGACCTCCCATACTGGTAGCTTCTTACTCAGTCAACCCCCTTCCTCTGTATGCCCAGAAATCTCTTAGACTATAGTGAAATGCAAGGACAGTGTATATTACGTAAGTCTTGAAGATGGAATAAATGACAGTGTTAAGTCTGAGGAGTAAGGCTGTGACTCTTCTCTGCACTAGAAGATGACTATTCCTCTGTGCAGAATACTACGGCCTATCCCATGTGTTCCTGACCCTGAAACGTGGGTCTAAATAGCACAAGCTGAAGAGTAAGGAGAAGGCTAAAGAAAAATGAAGGCGAGAGCTTTAATGCTCTTTTAGAAAAATACTTACATTTCCCAGAGGTCTGACTGTTCACAAGTGTAATTCACATGTACACCATACACAGTGAACCAGTGCTGTAAAAACCCAGCTGGAGGGTTGGTGTGGCAGGGGCAGCAGTGCATCAGGCAAATGTGCTCACCCCAGGGAGCTGGGCCCCTTCAAAGTGCAGGGAGAAAATGCTTCTCGCTGCTTTACCAGGCTCTGCGTGCAGAACAGGAGAAAAGGAAGAGTGTGTGTCTCCTGGGCAGAAGAGATAGGAAGATGCAGGGCAGTAACATCTGTTTGAAATGGCACCTCAAATACCCACTTTCTTATCTGCTGTACAAACTGTATAGTACAAAACCTTTTTACAGATGAATAAAATCAATCCTTACCTGCATAGTCTTGGGATGGAAAGAAGAATAACCTTACCTGTATGTGCACAAGTGATAGCTAAATTAGAGCCTATTACCACTGAAACATTGTGGAGTCACTGTAGTATATTCCTAGCCATGAAAAATGCAAACGGAGATGTCAGTATTTGAAGGGGTAAAGAAAAAAACACACTGCTACTGTATAAAGCTGAGGTGTTTTTTATAAACAGTGGAAAAAAGTTGGTGACTTTATAGACTACTATGAATGTCATGGGAAGGTGACTAAGGCATGCTTAGTCCCCAGTTCTTGCAACACTGGGAGTAGGGGCATCAAAGGAAAGTTCCAGAAACTTGAAAGCAAAAAGAATTAGTGGAAACACATTTATATTTTGTGACAAAGGTAGGAGAAGAGGAAGGTAGTTGGAAAGGACTAGGGGAGGAATGCTGAAGGCTAGATCTTACGGGGTTGCATTAAGTGTGCTCAAAGACCTCCAACTTGGGAAAATGTTTGTTTTCCTAGTATCACTTTTCCTCAATGTGTTTCTACTCTTTTCCTTCTGCATTATCTTTGTATAAGTGTAATTTATTGTGATTATAGAACCTAAAATAGTTATGCGGAAGCATTTCTCCTGTGCGGGCACCCACACTGACAACCTGGTAGACACAAGATGCAGTCAGGAAACCCACCATCAATCTTTGGAAGGCAGATAAGTTCCAGACATTCAAATTCACTAAAAGAACTTGAGTTATCCAAATATTTTTGAAATTAAGGAATACTTCTGCAGGAAAAGTATTTTGGATAATAGCTGTTCTGTGTAGACCCTTGTCATCTTACATCGCACCAGTGATGATGGTTAATGCTCTAGCAAAGAGAGCCCGTGTAACTGCCCCCCCCACTTGTAGATGAGGGTTTACATGCATGATCATTATTGCTCTTGGGTTGAAAAACAACCTTCCTCCTCCTCTTCCCCTCCCCCTGCCCCCAAACACATAGACAAGAATGCCTTTTTGTAACCAGATAAACTTGCAGTGCTTCCAGACAAAGACCTTTAGGTTAAAGGAATATGCTAGGTTTTTTTTTTGTTTTCTTGAAAAAAATACCTTGAGTGTAGCGTGTCAGTCAGCGCTGAGGTGGGAGGGTGAGGGGAGAGAGACGTGGTAAGGAGCTCTTAGAGCACTTCACAGCTATCCTCCTCCAAGAACTTATTTATAAAAGTAAACATAAAAAATTTCTGAAAGTATGCCCATTACATCTGAGAATAACAGTTTAACTATCATAACTATTTATATGATAGGACAGAAGAAAATACTATCAGAAATAGGGCCATCATTCAAACTTTCCCTCTAAATAGGAGTCTAACAGCTAGCTCCCTCAAGCTTCCTCCAGCACATGCTCAGGGCTATGATGTAATAGCATTTGTTATGGCTGGCAGTTTTTCAGGTTTGGGTGTATTAAACTAGATTCTTATATCTACTCATATGGCAACATATAGAAACAGCCTGACTTCTTTCTTTTTTTCTTCCTTGGAGCCAGTGAGCAACTGAAACCAAGGGGTGACTGTCTCTAAACCAGGCCAGTTTTACTGAGAAACCCAGAATATAGCTTTGGGTTTTAATGTCAGCATGTGTTAAAACTTTGAGGATGCTTGCAGGATGGGGAGAACAGTGTTGGAAAATTCAAAACCCCCCAAAACAACCCAAAAGCAGTTTAGCAGCCTTAACAACTGAAAGCATCCACTAGTGGAGTCAGGATTAATACTCAAAATTTCCTGTCCGATCCCTGTGTACGGTTTAAGGCCAGGAACGAAATTCTTAGTAGTTTAGCAGCTCTTCAGGAGAGATATAGCAAACAGAGCTTTGAGAAAGTACTTGTTTTCAACTTGTCTCATGGGCTTTCTAGAGATCTTCCAAACAGATATTCTCCAAGCATACGTAAAAGTAGAGCTCTCCTAAGCTCTAGCCTGGATAAAATTGACAAATATGGGGAGGGGAAAGTAAAACTCTGAAGCCTGAAGAAAGGGCAAAAGGAGTTTGAGTTGTTTTGTAGAGCTCTGATAAGCAAGGTCCAACATAGCTGAAAAATAATATAGTAGCTTTTCCAATTATTTTGTCTTCTAATTGTGTATGTATCTTTTTCCAGGCAAATTTTAAACTGACCACCTGAAGGTTCTTGTTATTTGGATTAGCTGTCACTTATGCTTTTCCATGGGGCTGGCGCATCATATTGGAATTAACCTAGTCCCTTGAGAAAGTCCATCTAAAACTTAATACTAGAGCTGAATTTCATGCTCTACATTCTGACTCTTTCTAGGACAAAAAACCCCCCGGAAAGATCCAGAAAAAAATCAAGGGGGTGAACTCAGAGTTGTCACAATGCAAGGATGCTATCCTTACCGGTTGGGAAGGAGAGATCCAGTCGTCAGGATATCCTGTTAGATCCAGCTGAGAACCTGAGTTCATCTGACTCTTGGAACTCTTGCATTAAAATCTGAAAATATCTGGTAGATAGTTTTTAATGCATCCGTAGATATTTCAGTGCGTGTTAGAAAACTGGGCAAGTTCCCCAAAGACTGTTAGGAAAACTGAGGGGCAGGAGGGTGGGGGTGGCGTAAAAACCTTATTTTCAGCAAGCAGCGGACAAATTTCATGCCTCTGGCCGAAGCTCTACTCGTGAAGCAGAGCACAAGCCTGAACATAATGCAACTGAGGGGTTAAAAATGGCAGTACTGAAATGTGTTATTAAAAGTCTTCTGGAACTTTCATCTGTTTCCTTTGCTTCCTCCCTTACTGTGTTTAGTTAGGATAAGAGATAACTCCTTATTCACATGGTGATAGCCCAGGCTTCTAAACTGCTTGAAAGCTTAACTTCAGAAGTAATGAATCATGTACCTGAAATAGGTTCACACCAATATCTCATTTTGGACTTCTTTTTCTTTTTTAATGGGCATTACAATCCCTTTTCCCTTTGCTCAGGTTTTGATGGTTATCCCCGGGAAACAAGAGCTAAATGTAAGAATATGCCATCGTTGAGACTTTGCTCTTTGCGTTGTGCTGCAGCTGCTACTGGAGAATTATATCCCCATTAATATCTATTGTTCAGCTTGGTTTCCTGCACTTCCAGAGTGAAAGAAATCTGTCTAATTGTCTATCTGTCTAATTGTCTATCTAATGGCCAGCTGATGGCGTATGAAGGACTTGGACTAACCAGAGTTAATAGGTGAGAGGGAGCTCACCTTAATGCTGGGGTGGGAGAAACAGAAGCTGAACTGTTCCTAGGCAGACAGATGGGGACTTCTACATGACACTTTTCCACGCACTTAGAGGGTCTGCTGGTAATACTTGTAGCTACTTTAGCTAGCTCAGTGTTTTTCCCTTCCTAGAAATGCTGTTGCAATCAAACGTGCGCTGGATGTTAGGTCTTAATCGTGACACAGCAGTAACCTGGAACAATGTGAGTCTGTCTGGGTTGCTTTTTCCCAGGCTTGAACTCATGGCATGACAGCTTGCTGCGCACAACTGAAGTTGTGTGCCAAACAGGAGGTACAGCTCATAGCAATGAGGCCAAGGAAAGGGAAGCTTTTCCTACTGCTCTACTAAGTGAGAGGAGGTACACAACAAAGCCACTATTGGCTTGGTTAGGTAGGCTACTGCTGGGGAAGTGAAGATGTCTCTCTTCTCCATCTGGAGCAGGAAGCACAGACTGGAAATCTAAAATATCCAAGTACTCGTGAATATATTGTTCTTCAAAAGTATCATGTAAGTGAGACTGAAGTCACTGAAGTGACTTATTCCCCAGGGGAACGTGGATGTCCTGCAGTCCCATGGGCATCGCATAGTGTCTTATATGAAAAACCTGCCCATCAGATCAGGTATTCCTTCTGAGAAGGACAGTCTGGGTAGTTCAATGGAAAACTAAATCAGCCAGTGCCATCAGACCACACCTGGGTAGCTTTCTTGTGTGATCTCCAGGTATTTGCCACTAGTGCTTCATGGCGGTTATAATGGGTGTCTTTAATGAGTTGTCTGTTTGGAGAAGGGCCCCACGTTGGTTATAAACATAGCAAGCTATCTTCTGGAGTCGTGCTGTAGTCTGATGCACGAATTAAAAGCACAGTGTCATCAGGCGTTCATTAAGAGGCTTTTAAAAAAGAAAAGTTCTGCCTCAGAGGGCTTAGGAGAAAAATGGGAAAGCGGAAGGTTCAGATCCCTATTTTGCCTGAATTAGTTTGCAGGCAACTTCTGTGGTGATGCTTCACTCTATCCCATAAAATGTTGAGGTTCAGTGGTGACAGTGACCCTCGCTTTCAGAGCTTAGGCAACTGTAAAAGGCTTTCTCCTGGCTTACTCTGTCTAGGAAATATCACGTGGTAAGTCTACTACCCTTTTCTTTTGGAGAAAGAGGAGGAAGAGAGGAGAGTGCAGGGTGTTGGTATGTATGTATGCTAAGAGTCTAACGAAAGGTCATTACAAAACTAAGAGAAATACGTAGTATTATAAGGCAACAGGCTGTTTAGATGGCATTTTGAAGATGTCAAGTGATATATTAAATATTTAGATTCTCAAAACTAGCTGTTTCAGAGAAAAATGGCCATTGAGAATGAGATCTAGAAGGAATCTTGAGTGCTCTACCAAAAAAAAAGCAACCCCTGTCCCCACAGTCTCTATTACTACTATAATCTCTCTTCTGATTCTTTATTTAGTAGACGATCCTGCTGTTAGGCACTGCAGATACCTCTGCCTCATACGCAGGAAACTATGCAGTTAATTGAGATCTAAGTTCTAAAGAATAATAATAAAAAAATCCTCAGTTTCTTACATCTTTCTCTTACTTCCCAGGCCAGGGTACAGCTGGTGGCAGAAGCACTCACTTTCCTCTGTGGATAGCACTACCCTGACACCATTAAGCAAATTAGTGCTTTGATATCTCGGATCAAATAAACTCAGAGATAGAAAGAAGTGTCCAGTCTGAATCTCCTGATTTCATGGAAGCAAACTGCTCTTTGTTCCAAGCAACCTGAACCATTTTTAATCTCCTTCCTCTGTCCCCTCTCCTTCTGTCTTTCCTGTGTTCTTGTTGTGTAAGTGAGCACATCTGCTTGTCCCTGCTTTGGGTGAGTGTGTCCAGCTTCAGAACTAAATTCTTGCACTTAAATTTCTCTCATTACAGTTCATCAGACTTGCACCCCTTCAATTATGGATGGAGTGAGGGAAGCAACACTATCTGATTAAGTACCTGAAGTTGAAAGTGCATGTGGCATGAACAAGTAGGCTTCTCTTGCAAAGTGACAGAGCAGGTCTGTTGCCCGGAGCATGTTAGGTGGAAGTGGCCTGGACTCAAGCAGCTCTTGACTTCTACTAGTCCTCTCTAGACCTTAATCATGGATGGATCTGAGAAGATACTTCTATCAATACCTCTTTTTTGCTTCCTTTTCCTCAACCCTTTTTTAATCTTGATACTTTTCTCATTCCATGTATGGAAATACAGTTTGAGTGGTTACTGCTGGGAGTACTAAAGCTGCCCTGGCCATATGGGCATCAGGATCTTTGGGTACTGAAGTGTTGCTTGAAATGGCTTCTTGCCTTTCTGGGTCATATGTGTCTATCTTCCTCTCTAAACCCAACACAGACATTCAGAGAACTGGCTATTAATTTAATGTCACTAAAGCATACGAGATATACATTCACAGAGAGTATAAGAATAATTTGACCATTGAACTAGGCTTCAGTTCTTCAACCTGGACAGGGAGTGATGGTGCATAGGCTGCTGAAGACTTACCCCTGGAGCACTGCAGAGCAGACCGCAGCAGCCTTGGTATATTTGAGTAACTAATACCTTTGAGTAACAAATGGCTCGGATTAAAAAGTCTGTCCCTGAAAATAATTATGGGGCTGTGTGTCATATTGTACTCGGTGAAAACTACAACGCAGTTGTTCTTGCCCTCTAGCAAACTCATGTGGCCAGAAAAAATCTTCATCGTGTTCTCTGGGTCTTTCCTTGCCTATTGCAGAAAGTCATCTTGTTGCTAAAACAGTGTTGAAGGTTGCAGGGACATCTGTAATGTTCTTCATAATGCTCATGCTGCCCCTAAAGCTATTGTCCTGCAACCACTTGCAGATATTCTGCACTGTGGTGGATTGAAAACTAGAAAATTCATTTGGTGCTCACTCCAGGTGCTTCACGTTAGAGGGTCGGTCTCATAGCTCCACAGTTCTCCCTTTAAGTGAGCCAGATAGAAATGTCCCTGTGGAATGACTGTTTATTTAAAAACACACAAGCACACAGTTTAAGCCAGATGCTTATTGGGAAGAATGATTGGTCTTATGTAAGTGGCCTCTGATTAAGTAATAACCATTATCTGGAACCTGGCACTATAAACAGCAAGTGGAAAAGCAAACAATTTCATCGGCCTGTGCTAATTTCTTCTTGAGAGGCTGGCTGTTCTTACTATAGCAGGTCATGTCTTTTCTTGGGGCACACAGAAGGGATAGAGGAGCCTATTATGAAAAGGTTAGTTCCCATGGCACAGTCCATGGCACAGTGTCACTGAGAGAGGGGAATGGGGATTTGTTGTGCCTTAGCCCTTAAAGTTCTCGGCAGGTTTCCTTGATGAACCAGCTCTGCCAATGACAAGTTTTTAATGGACTTATTTCTTGTTAAAGTTTTTTTCTAGATTCACCCTCTGTATTATTTACTTTCTGAGGAAAGTAAATACTGTTCACTTCTGGGTTTGTTTCTTTCCTTTCTCATGCTAGCACCTCCTGTGATCAGTGACAGCTGGAGGTGTGGGATACAGGTTATTTATGCACCGAGTATAACTCAACTGTTACTAGAACTGGCTGGGAACATTTTAGTGAACTAGTTTTGGAAAACGGAAACTTACTGTAATGGAAACACTTCATAAATATCAGTTTTGACTAAAAAAAGTTTCAGGAAACGCTTCTCAGCTGCAGAATGTGACTTCCTGAAAAATCCATGGAGAAACACTTACAACATGCTGGCTGACATATACAAATTTGGGAGATCAAGGTTCAAGTCCCTGCTCAACTGGTATTAGTTGAGGTCTTTATTTTTTGGCATAGCACATATGGACAATTTTTTTGTCATTTCCAAGGGGAAATTAGAGCAAAGGGTTCCCACTTGTCTCTAGGACTAACACTTTAATCCCACCAGAAGGTTATTGTGGAGTCTTTCTGTTGGACACAGCTGTCCAGAATAAGTCTGGTATTTGTTTGGTGTTGGAGCACCCAGCTGCGTCCAGTTAAAAAAAGACTAACAATGGAGAATTACTTCCAGAGAAAAGTCGATTTCCAGTGATGGATCCATACCTTGTCCTCAGGCCTGAGACAAGTGCAGGAGCACTGCGGAAGCAGCACGGGGAGCCCAGGAAGACTGAAAGCAGCCTGGCACCCCAATGGCCTGGCCTGGCCTGGCCGGTCTGTGGTACGAGTATTAATGCTGCTGTGGAGGCTTTCTTCCTGATGAAAAATGGGTCCTGACAGCTGCACCCCGCAACTTCAGGTGGGCAAAGCTTTCTCACCTCAAAGCATTATAAGGGCTGGTTAGCCTGCAGGCCAGGACAATTTCTAAGCTATCTTGTCAGTCCTGACAAATACTGCTGGGGTCACAGTGTCCCACGTGTTTCCCAATGTTTCCCTGAACTGCCCTCCTGCCGCTTGAACCTTTTTGAGTAGCTTCGCGTGTTTTTAGTCCAGGCAAAGGTGACAGAGAAGGTGGAGTGTGGGCTTTAGCGTGTACTAGGGAATTAATGTATCTGCACAGTCCTGAGAGGGCTTGGGAAAATGCTGATGCCGGCATTATGTCGCTGATACTTACAGCACCGATTAGGTTAAGGTACCACATGGTGTTCTTGAATCTTCATTTCTGTTGTGTGTGGACATCCATGGTTGCGGCAAAGGTCTTGAATATTTTATCAAACTCGTTACACAGCCCAGATCTGTAGCTTCAGGGTAAGCTCCAGCCGTGTTAGAGTCTGGTTCCTGGGAAGGCAAGCGACTGACTTGCCTCTGCGCTCCTTTTGTTCATAGTAGCAGCAGCACATCTTTAGAGGTGGAAATTAAAGCTGCCTGTAGGCACACTACAGAAAGCACTGAGTGGACTGGGGTTTTTGAAAGTGGCCCTGTGAAGTAACATTTTAA